ACAAGGCCGTTCAGCTCAGACAAGGCCGTTCAGCTCAGACAAGGCCGTTCAGCTCAGACAAGGCCGTTCAGCTCAAACAAGGCCGTTCAGCTCAAACAAGGCCGTTCAGCTCAAACAAGGCCGTTCAGCTCAAACAAGGCCGTTCAGCTCAAACAAGGCCGTTCAGCACAAAAGGCAGTTCAGATCAATGGCAGTTCAGATTAAAATAGGCAGTTCAGATTAAACAAGGATGTCAGGAATCTAGGAGTGTTTTGGCGGTTTTCCTACCCACACTTATTTGATTCTATACAGATTATAAACGTAATATCCTAGACTCCTAGTGTACCTTAACTAATATTACACTACGGATCTGGAGGCACTCAGAATCAAATTGGGAGGTCTGCTATATGTTGGTGAAGGGGTCAGGAAATCCAACTTGCTCTGTCCAGTACCCAGGTACAATCAGAGGAGTCCCAGGACCTCGGAAGAATGATTGCCTTTTTTCTCAGTGGGATAATTTCCACTTTGAAAAGACGCAGGTAGGGTAGTATCCAAGTTTGCTATGAGTCATAAGAATTGGTGGATGGCTCAGTTCCATGGCTATCAATGCCTGACTTACACTGTCTCATTCCTGTGTCCAGTTGCAGGGACTGAACAGCATGCGTATACCACAGTTAATTTGGGTACTATCCTGTCGGACTTTACTGTGTTATATCCCCGAGTCCATCATGTTTTGATGGTTTATGAGTCCGGACATCCTCAGATAATTGATACTGATGGGTGCAGGAGAGAGGAGGGTGTTATGTTATGCTTGGGACTTTACAGGAGACAGCAATTCTGGCACAAAGAATAGCAAAGACACAGGCATATACCCCTATTACCTCAGGGAAAAGGCTTGGTCTCAAACCTGACACCCCCATACACCTACAGAAACTTTCTTTGGAATCTGAAGAAGAGTTAAAACGTTTGGTTTTGGGCAACCGGTTTTAGATAGCACCAACAGTTTGTGCAGAGCATCAACAGGAGGGCCCAGCTCAAGGGGCTTATAATCTAAAGGGAGGGGGTGGTATAAAACGTAATAGCTGCGGTAGAATGGTCTGATGGAGCTGGCTGAGGTATAGTTTTTAGGTGGAGGCAGATGAAGTTTCCATAAATAAATTAATTTTCTGGGATCACCTAGTGGTGAACAGGGTAGGAGTTGGCTGGACATACTGGGGAGGGGAGTTCCAGAGGTTCTGGAGCAGTCCTGATGATGAGCAGGGGAGAAGGTAACAAGGAAGCTGGAGATCAGGATGTCTTCGGAGGAGTGGAGTGGTCAATTTAGGTGTTACCTTTGGATCAAAGTTGATTAATCCAAGTAACAAACACATTAGAGAGATGCTAAGGTATGCTGATGAGTTTCTTCAGGTACAGTCCTAAAGCCACAGCTTTCTTAAACATCTTACTCCACCCTCTTCACCTGATTTGCGTAACTCTGTTGCTCTTCCTGATGCAATTAATAATGTGCATCACTATCAGGAAAATGATCACCAATAAGGTACCTCAATAAGGTACCTCAATAAGGTATCTCCTATTGAGAAACCGAGAGGCCATTAACTGCTCTCTAAAGAACCTGATCCGATACACACAAAAGAAATTTGCGCATTCAAGAGAGGACCCTAAAACAACATAAAGGAAAAGGAAACTCTTGATGTTCTTTGTTTCTTTTTTCCCCTTTTTATTGTTTTTTTTTTTGTTTGGTTTGTTTTAGGGAGAAGCCTCTAAAGTGGAGCAATAAAATGCAGTCAGGTTTATCTAAATTCTAAAAGTTTTTTAAATCAAATTTTTTTACTCTCCCCGTTTTTGTGTACCTGACCTGCAAATATACTGTTGATTATAGTATAGTGGAGGACTTGTCTATTGTCTAGCAACTGCTGCAATTTTTGCAATGTTTTTGTGTTTTAATGCAGTTTTCCCAGGCGACTATATATACAGTATATATTATAATTTTTTTTCACCTTTTCTCATTTTTAACTTTTTTGTATGAATACAGACTCATTGCTCTTTACCAACCTAAAGTGAAATAAAAGTCGTAGTTGGAGGGGCATTAAATCTGTACCTTTTTTTATTTTTATATCGTTATATGTATGTTTTTGCCTTTATTACTCTTTCCTCTTTCTTTCTTTTTCCTTGTTTCATATAATTTTTTTTAGATAAATGAGCTGTGAATTATAAGGCTGTGGCATTCGTGCCCGACTCAGCTTCAAGAGTCCGACGGGGATCCACAGGCTTATAATTGCTTCCTGCAGACATCCCTCAATCTGTATATAGTTCCACTCCGAGCCCTGTGAGTGGGTGGGGAGAACCCAGGAACTGAGACCTGACAATAGCATGCAGCATCAGCCATCCCCACCTTCAGGGGCCCTGGTAAATACCGGCTGTTGCTCAGACTCTGCATCCTGTGGGGATCCCGCTTTACTTGCCCACATTAAGACCCCTATGCTTAACAACCTTAAAGGCTAAACAGCTGCTTCACGCTTGATTTCCCCCCAATACCATTCTCCTTCTCTTTTTTCATATCCATGTATGATTGTCTGGAGGCCTGCCCTACCACCACCTGAAGAAACAACAACCACCACGTCATCTCTTGAGACAAGGGTGCAAAAGCTAGACCTTCCTAAACTATCTTTCGCCTTGCTGAATAGTGCCATTTCGCGGTCTGATCCAATCTTTGCAAACATTGCACAGTGTTCCCAAGCTACGGGACTAAAGATACCAGGATCCCGCCATCGATGTTGGAGTTCCGTCCTTCCAAGGCAGAGGGTCGAGGAAACATCACAGCAGAGGCATTCATGGTCCGAATGTGAGGTCTCAGAGGCACCAGGACTTCTTTGTTTACTCAGGATAGATAAGGAGTTCCTTCGTGATCAAGAAAGAAGAGGAGGTTGCAGTGGTGGTGGGGGGTTGGGCCTTCTGGGTGGTCATGGGTGGGTACAAAATCATTGAGGGAGGGCATAAGTTCTCCAATGAACTTCAGGGGGAAATGTAATGGCAATTTTGGGCCTACATCTTCATGAAGGTTATTTTGTCTGTGTGTGGGGGGGGGGATTACACAAAAGACTCAATGGAGGTGAGGGGGAAGGCAACTGCTTTTTTGTGTACCTTGCTCTGAAGCCCACCCATTGGAAGATAACTTGGGTGGGTGGTTCTTGGGATGGTCTTTTGTAAAGTGCATAAAACACCTTGGACAAAGGAGAAGCCCTCCCTTTTGTGCCATGTGCCTTCCACAGCACAGTCCTTAGAACATCAGGATGGCTGTAATGTATCACCATTGCTCTGTCTTTTTCTTGTAACTTTCTCTTTCTTGTAGTCTTTGTATTGGTAACATTCTGTATTATATTTTTGTTGTATTTGATTAGTAGAAAGCTTCCTTGCTGTGTAAATAAATTAGATCTTTATTTTTTTGCACAGTGGTTAACTTTTAATATTAACAGTATTGGCTAAATTCAGGTATAGACAAAAGGTTATAATCAATTATTACGTTTATAATCTGTATAGAATCAAGTAAATAAGTGTGGGTAGGAAAACCGCCAAAACAGGAGTGACCAGAAAGGTGTGGACTGACACAGGGAAACTCAGACTTCAGGTACAATATAATTATGATTAGCCACCCAGATATATAACTCACAGTAAACAAACCAACCTTCCACTAATCTTAGTATGTGCAGGAACACAGGCGTAGTCAGGGCTGGAGAGGTGGAATGGTCAGGCCGGCCGTAGGGTTCTGTAATGACCGTTTGGTGGTACCTCTAGCGGTCCTCAGGACAGGATTCCCCAGGGCGCGGAGTCTAAGTCCCAGTCTGCTTATTCACCAGGGCCCCTGATGGTGGGGATGGACTTGGAGCAGACAGGAACCAGGTCACGGCCCCTGAGTACACCTGCTAGTGGTAGAGGGATCCGCCAGAGGTATGTGCAGGTAGAAAGCCTGATGTGAAGAGGCAGAAGGTATGAGCAGGGACGGCTGGATCCGTGCAGGATGGATGGATGGCAGAGTAGTTAGCGTGGTCAGACGAGCCAGGTCAGCAACGTGCGGGCAGCAAGGTACCAAAGGAGCAGGCAGAGAATGGTCAGGGTCACAAGCTGGGTTCAGTAACTCACGGGCAGCGTGGTACAGGGGATCAGGCAGAAGGATGGTCAGGCAAGCCAGGGGTTCAACAGGAGACGGTCAGCAGAGGTCAGGATCAAGCAGGGTCAGCAATGAAGCAGGAACACTCAGGATACCAGGTACAGGGGCTCATGGGAAAACATACACCAAGGCACAGACTGCAGGTCTGGCCATCCTTTAAATACACCTTCTGTAATCAGCCCCAGGTTTGGCTGATTGCAGGAGGGAGCTTCTGGCTGCTGAGAGCACCCGCTGGTCAGCCCTGGTACTGCAGCCCACACGGCAGGTGAGTCCCACCACCAGTGCTGAGTCCATTCCTGACAAAGGCAGTTATGCTCAACAGCAGTTCAGATTAAACAAGGCCGTTCAGCTCAAAAGGCAGATCAGATCAATGGCAGTTCAGATTAAAGAAGGCAGATCAGATCAATGGCAGTTCAGATTAAACAAGGCAGTTCAGCTCAAAAGGCAGATCAGATCAATGGCAGTTCAGATTAAACAAGGCAGTTCAGCTCAAAAGGCAGATCAGAGCAATGGCAGTTCAGATTAAACAAGGCAGTTCAGCTCAAAAGGCAGATCAGATCAATGGCAGTTCAGATTAAACAAGGCAGTTTTCAGCTCAAAAGGCAGATCAGATCAATGGCAGGTCAGGTTAAACAAGGCAGTTCAGATTAAACAAGACAGTTCAGCTCAACGGCAGTTTAGATTAAACAAGGCAGTTAAGATCAAAGTCAGCTCAACGGCAGTTCAGATTAAACAAGGCAGTTCAGATCAAACAAGGCAGTTCAGATCAACAGCAGATCAGATTAAACACGGCAGATCAACTCAATGGCAGTTCAGCTCAAACAAGGCAGTTCAGATTAAACAAAGCAGTTTAGCTCAACTGCAGTTCAAATTATCAGTGTGCCCTGATGATCAGTGTAGCCCCAGCAGTGCCACCTGCAAGTGTCCATCAGTGCCTTATGTCAGTGCCTTGTGCCAGTGTCCATGAGTGCACAGCAGTGCACATCAATGCCACATATCAGTGCCCATCTGAGCTGCCTTTCAGTATCACCCATCAGTGCCAGTCAGTGCCACCTATCAATGCCAATCAGTACCACCAGCATCAGTGCGCATCAGTGCCGCCTAACAGTGCCATATATCAGTGCTGCCTTTCAGTACCCATCAGTGATGCCTGTCAATGCCCATCAGTGCCACCACCTACCAGTGCCTCCTCATCAGTGCCCATCAGTGCCACCTATCAGTGCAGCCTATCAGTGCCCATCAGTGTAGCCTCATTAGCGCACATCAGTGAAGGAGAAAAATCACTTATTTACACAATTTTATAACAAAAACTAAGAAAAAACTTTTTTTTAATTTTCAGTGGTTATTGGTTTGTTTAAGAAAAAATAAAAACCCAGAGGTGATTAAATACCACCAAAATAAAGCTCTATCTGTCACAAAAAAATGATAAAAATTTCATATGGGTATATTGTTGTTTTACCGCGCAATTGTCATTCAAAGTGCGACAGCGCTGAAAGCTGGAAATTGGCCTGGGCAGGAAGGGGGTATAAGTGCCCTGTAGGCTAGCGGTTAACCAATACACGCCATCCAATAGCCAAAAGGTGTCCGGCAAAATGTATTGGATTTCCGGGTTGGACACCAAATGGCGTCCTCCCGCACATGCGCACTTTTTCGCACTTGCAGAGCCGCGCGATCTGTCATCGGCCGTCTACCTTGGACACAGCCGATGACAGATCTGAGTATCGGCCCCGTTGCCGATACCATGTGACCTGCTGTGACCAATCACAGCAGGTCACGTGACAGTTGTATACAATGGATGGCTTCATTCATGCCATCCATTGAATACTACTGTCTAGCTGTGAATGGTAACAGCGATCACATGCACATGTCATGTGATTAGCTGTGGCCAAAATCACAGCTAAGCACAAAAAAAAAAAAAAAAAAAAAACCCTGAATGAATCGATGTCATTCAGGTAAAATCTTTGCTATAAGCAAATTGTGTAAAAAAAAAAAAATACTGATCACTTCCCCAAAGTAGTGCAATGTTACTATGGTAACATTGTACTACTTTAGACATAGTGAAATATGAAAAAAATCTTAAAAAAAAGAAAAAAATGTAATAAAAAATTAAAAAATAATAAAAAAAAAAATTTTTAAAAATAAAAAAAATATATTTTTTTTTTCATACTGTCACCAGTCAGTGTCCCTGATCACCGCCATGCCAGTTATATGAAGACGCTGTACTGCACTGATGACAATATGTAAAAAATAAATAGTGAAAATAATTTTTTGCATTTTTTCATTTTCCAAAAAATTATGACAAAAAAAATACAACTTCAAAAAACTCGCCATGCCTCTTATGAAGTACGTCGGACTGTCTACTCTGCAAAAAGGGGTCATTTGGGGGATATCTGTACTGTACATTCTTGGACCTCAAGAAATTAGATTGGCCGTCAGTACTTCAGGATTGATCAATATTCAGATCTATACCATAGTTTGTGAACTCTATAACTTTCCTACAAACTAAAAAATACATCCTAATTTGGGTTATTTTCACCAAAGACATGTAGCAGAATACATCTCGGCCTAAATTTATGAAAAACAATTATTTATTTGATAACAGAAACAAAGAAAACGTG